CATCGATGCTACTGTGCATCAGTGCTCTCTCTAACGGTGAAATGCTTCGTTGCACCTGTACAGCGTTGTCTCATTTGCTTACCGCTTGAATAGGCGGTGATGGTCAGCTGTTGAACTTGGATACGGGTTGTTGAGTACGGACGACTGCTCCGAATGGATGTGTGCAGCACAGGCTTTGTTGCTTGCAGCTGTTAAAGTTGTTTTTGTTGGCTGCTGCCACCAGCGATTCATCGGCGATTCAAATGCAAATAGCACAGGTATACAGGCATGCATATATATGTATGTATATATGTACATAGACACAAAATAGCACTGGCATCAGCATGCCGGTAATTTCAGCTGAGAGGCGAACTGCGAAGGACACACATTTTCGTATTCATGCAAATCGTCATGTTAGAGCCACTCAACTTGTTTTCGCTCGTTTATTTTTCACTTTTCCCAACGACATGCCAGCGCATATTATTTACATATGTCAATATATATATGGATATATGAATATACGGACGAGTATATGTGTGTGTGTGTGTGCAAAAAGTTGATTGCTGCCATCATATTTTTGTTGTTTTTGACTGTTTGCTGGCACTTTCCATAAATTAATTTATTTACTTTGCAATTCATTAGAGTCACCTGCACAGCTGGACAGGACATTGCATGCGAACGGACGGACTGCATACAAAAGTAGTTGTGTGTAAAGCAAGCAATTAGTTTTTGCATTTCTGATGACAAATAGCTGTTGAATTGGTATTTTAGACGCTTAAAGGGCCATTAAGCTGACGAGCATTAAATCACTGTGGCTCAAAGCGCTTGTTGGATAAAATTTAACTTCAAATTGACGACTTGCAAATATTAAGGTGATTAGTGTACGATAATACATGGACGTCTGTGCAAACTGTTTACTTATTCATTGCGGGGAAAAGCCATCAAATTCACTTTGCATTATAAGACATGCGGTTTATGATAAAGTAAAATATGCGGTGAACAGTTAAAAATTACCTAAAGAATGATACTTGCGATTATGCTTTATATAAACATCGGGAGCTTAGCACGCAATCCTGTTTTCTTGCTCATAGAAGATATGTTCGAAATGAGAATCCGAAAGCGAGGTATGAACTAATAGCGAATTCCCCGTGCAAGCATATCAGAAAAGATGACTAAAAGTTTAAGAAAATAGCACGAAAATATCTTCTTAACCATTTTCTTTCAGTAACGCCAAAGCGCGCCTCTTTTGGCAGTCTAAAATCAGTCACTGTAGTACTCTTTAGCGACAAAGAGAAAGAACAAATCGCAATAGAACAGCCTTGTCAGTTTTTATTCCGAAATGCTGCTAGCATACGAACCGAAGCAACGATCGGTGCATTATAGTAAATTTGCACGAACTCAACTATTGTTTTACAACATGAAATTGACTTAGACCTATTTCGTTCTAAAGGATTTTGTAAAATTTATACGTGGATAGGGATCAATATATCGAGTGTTGGAAAGACCACTGGAACAACAACGAGCCAATGAACTTTTAACCTTAGCTGTAAAGCAACAAGTTTTAAGCTGCTGTTAAATAATTATTGTTTAGGAAAGAAATATATCAATCAAAATCAGGATATTTCCTCGAGGCATAATTTATTGACATAATCCTGATAATATTTGATGAAAACAAAGTTCACAAATTTTTAATGAGCTTCTGAACTCACCTCCAACCTCAACTAAAATCGCAGCAAAAATTGTTTAATTTATTCCACTCAAATGTAATCAAAAGTAATTGCAATACAATTTGAAATTAATTACTTTTTTAGACACACACACACATACACAATTATAAACCATTCACATATGTACATATATCCTCGTATTTGTGTTTAGAAGTATCTTGTAGCTGATAAGCGTGATTTCCTTTCAAACCAGCACTTGAACTGTTTTGATGCCATCTCTAAGATAGTTGTTGTGGAATTATACATTCTGTTTGCAAACAAAACCAGAAAGCCTAAATAAGCCAATTGAGCGAAGTGCAAGTATGTTCTCGAATGCCTACATTCACCATAAGTTTAAACTCAACACAAAGTTTTCCACTAATCGCAGATAAGTAAACTGCAATCTTCATTTTGGTGCAAGTTCTTTGCATAAACTTTCAGCATTTTCAAGGAGCAAACAACAAGTGCATACCTGTGAGCTAGAGTGTGAGAAATATGTGTACCCTGCAGGAAAGCGCACCGGAACAAAATTATTTCGGCGCTATTAAAAAGAAAAAAGAAAGCCCCCCAACCGGTCGAATATGTAGCAACGAAATTATATATACAAGTATAATTCTATTTTATGTATTTGAAATGAAAATTTTATATTTTATAACAAAAAGTTCGAAGGATGCCTCCCGCCTAACTTTGTGTCATATTACTAGATCTGATAATAATACACTCGCTTTGATAAATGAGGGTCCAAGAAAATCTTTTTAAGAATGAGTATAATTCGAAACAAAAATTGGAGAAGGGTTGCCCCTATTCATATTTTAAATTCAAATAAAAATTGGAAAATATGACAACAAGAGCATCACATAAAATTGGTGAAGGACCGCTACTATCGGAAATATTTTTGAGTAGGGTTGCCAATAGAGTTTTAATTCAATTATATTGATAAACTAAAAATAGTAAAAAATCGACATGAATTGAAAAGTATTTCAATTTCTGAATGGCACTATCATATATTACGTAAAACCTAAAGGTATTATTGTACAATTGAATAAAATATTACAAGTTTGAAAAAAAAAAATTGAACAAACCTATTGTCTACCCCCTATTGAAGCAATATTTTACGCTCTTAATTATTTTTTAACAATTCTCATCTATTTTTATTTACATGTAGTATGCTAAAAACATTTTTTAATTGAACTGTAAATTTGTATGATCCTCGATTCCTACAGGGTCAGTATACATTAGTAATATATATAATACTTATAAGCAAGCAAAAATATGCCATATTCAAACATTTATATTTTAAAAATATGTACACACACGGTTACACATACGGTGTATATATGTATGTTTTTCTACCGTTATTACCTTCAGTAAGTTGTTGTCAACAGGAGTTGCGTGCACTATTACGCTACTAAATCCTAGTTAGCATCTTGATTGGTCGTAAGTTTGTCCAAAGTAAAGGTTTATGAATACAAGTACGCTTCCATATGGGTTTCTTCATATACATATATGGATTCATACTTGCTTAGCATATTTGCTATACATACTTTACTGTACTATACTTATGTGCGTTTTCACACGTTGTCAACTACTACTTTTGTATTTTATATGTATACTTGGTAGAAATATCATTTTGTAAAATTTCTAACTTTCTTTTACAACGCGCAATCACAGCAAAAACTAATCCAATATAATTCTCCCGATTCACCGCGAGGCGAGATGACGACTTCGCTTAGTTGCAAGTCAACGTAATGCAAATAACTAAGGCTAAGCACATAGTAGGGTGGAAAGCAATATCATGCAGCTAAAGCTTCACTTTAATACTACAGAGCGAGGAAGGTTAAAAAAATGAAAATTTTCAGAGTTTGAAAAGTTGTCAAAATGAGTGGCATTCAGTCAAATACCCAAAAACGATAATGCTGCCGGTATTTAGATGTAGATGTAGATCTATATTGTAGAGTTTGGAAATAGGGTAAAAAAAATAAATATTGTTGTTATTGTTGTAGAGAGTACCTAACCCCTGTTTGCGGGATAGTTCAAAATCACACAGCGGTCGATTCGGGAAACAACCTGTTTTGACGGGCTCGGACCAAAAGGAGAGGGGTCTGTCTCCTGAACCGTGTTAAGTGAGGTGGATTTAGCGGGGCATGCAAAGAGAGGTTAGTGTCGTGAGGCGACACTTTGCACACATGATATATATTTAATATGTCCAGATCTATGCTCGATAATTAGGAGTTTATTCTGCCACAGTATTCAAAGCGAATATGTACGTCTGCCAAAACATCCCAGCAGAAACTGCTTGGAGAGGAGTGCATTATGTTCCTCAATCGGTATGTCGGGGGGCGCATGCAGAGACATCCTGTTATAGTAGGGAGTGCGGTGTTTTAACGTATCTGTTGCTGCTTCAGCTGAGTCCTGCTCAATTGCCTTTTAAGTGTCCAGCAACGTTTCGCTGTCCTTACTCCAGGTGCAGCCGACTAGCGAATTGAAGATCTTATTGCTGCTGTGTACTTTGGTAATGATCGCGGTGGTATGCGGGGTTGTACACTGGCAGCAATTTAACGTCATCGACAAAAATGTTACGGTCTAGCCTGTATTCTTTCAACCAGTTGGTGAATTTAGTCGCTAAGGATTTAGTAGGGAAGAAGTTTAGGCTCCTTGCAGTGAAGAAGCGGGAAAATAGATCGAGCCCATAGCTTTTTATATTACATATGAGTGTATTTCTTTGAGTATGGTTTGGTTAGATTAAAGCTAAGCTTCAAACTATTTCAATCTTTCTAAAAATCTTCATAATTTTTCCGAAACTAATAATATATGTATGTAGCTTTATAAAACTGTGAAAAGTATGCTATACTCAAGTATCAAACTTCGTATATTAATTTACATTTTTCGTTGCACTGTGTGCCTAGCCTTAGTTTCATTGCACGCAAATTGGCTGTGGCTGTCTAAAGTGACTCTGCATCAATTTCACTTCCAAACTTACTTTGCTGAAATTACTTTCTGGAATTGCGTCTCGCTGTTTTCTAACTAGTGGCCGCTGATGAATTACAGTCAAGCAATTTGGAGACACTAGTGAAATTCAGAGTTCTCCAAAGATCACAGATTTTGAATAAAACCAAATTAGGCAACTTTACACAAATACTAAAGGAAAACACTAACAGACCTCATTATAAGCACAATAATAAATAATAACACAGTATTATATGTTCGTTTATATCTTTGCTCAACTACACTGTGCTAAACAATTTATTATTTGCTCTTTAGATAATTAATTATATTTCGAAAGTAAATTTATGTTGATGAAAATAGACAGCATACCTGTTAATTTTTAGTAGATCTCAAATTTGTTGCTTTAAATTCGTGCTTTGAACTTCTACCGTATTTTTCTTCACCTTCACTTATACACACATCACTTTTTGGATATCACACCATCATAAAACACTGATTTTACTTTTATTCGAATATTTGCATTATATTAAAACATATTTATTTACGATATTAGAACTATGCACTTTTCACTATTTTCACACATTTCATTTCACAAAACTTATACACATTTCTATTTTTAGTACACTTTCCACACACACTCGCGATCTATATTTTTCACTATTCACTTTTATTATGAAAACTAAATTTAAGTTTACTATATTAAACTTGTAATTGTCGCATTTAATATTATTATTAGTTATATTAATAATTTTTCATTTTGCTGCTTTGATAGGTATATGATTATATTTTTCATTTACTCACACGCGTAATACAATTTTATTTCCTTCATATTTGCACTTCGTTCGATTGAATCGCGTTGCTTTTCACTGCTGACTTTGTTTACAAAATTGTCGTGTCACAGTTAACGGCAGCCACTGCTGTTGATTACGACAGGTTTAGACATGTTGATTTGCGTGACTTTTGCTTTGTACCTGCAAATATGCTTTGTTCTATATGTATGGAACAGCTGTGCAAAGGAATAAAATAAAATAAAAAACAAATTAATTATAAAGAAATATTGCAAAAGTTATTGAAATTTGGTTTAAAATAAAAATCAAAAGAAAACCGAATTAAATATATGTACATATGTATGCATATAATAAAAATACAAACATCATATAAAAATATAAAAATACTCGTATACATATGGTAAATACATAAAATATTTAAATAACAAAAATTCAAAAAAAATAAAAATAAAATACTTCTAAAACCAAAGTTGCCAACTTCTTATAAATAATAATATGAAAATAGTAAAACATATGTACATATGTATTTCCATAAGGAGAAAGTAAATTTTCAATACACTTATATAATAATTTAAACTAAAAAGATGGAGAAATTTTAAAAAAAATTTAAAAATTAATAATTAAAAATCAAATCCCGTCTCGTTGGTGGTAGACGGTGAGTAAATGTTTTTTTTTTGAAAGCCGAAGTAGTTTAAGAGAGCCTACAATTATCAACTTCCAATGGTTCAATTAAAATCTGGCTTGTAGAATATGAGTGTTTAAATAAAGAGTTTGAAGAATACTTAGGAATTGAATATATTTTTTACGTGGGGTTGCGTACTGTTTAGAAATATATATTCAACGATATAATTAAAGCAAATCTTATACCACAATATGAATATTATTCTAAACAGATTCAGAAAAGTTTTTATAAAATATATTTTCTGAAAGGTTGCCAGCTGTTTGAAAATAATAGTTACATAAAATCCATAATAAAAGCAATGTATTACAATATAAGCTTCAAAGAGAAAAGGTTTTATATATTTTTAAGCTAAATATATATTTTGGGAAGAGATTTAAAAAAAAAAATATTCAGTAATTTGGATAATATAAATTTCTTAATACATTATAAATTTTAACTAAAGAAGGCTTAAAACAGATCTATGGCAAACATATTTTAGAGAAGGTTGCCAGCTGTTTGAAAATATTAATTAAATAAAATTAATAACACAAGCCATGTATTACAGTATGGTAATCAATCTGAAGAGGTTTAACAAAAATTAATGTTGAAAATATCAGTCGAGACGAGATGCCACCTATTTAAAAAAATGTATTCAGTGATTTTGATAACGTAAATGTCATAATGCAGTATGGGTGTAACTAAAGAAAGCTTAAGAGAAATCTATGCCACAGATATTTTATAGGTTGCCAGCTGTTTGATAATATTATTGAAATTAAATAAAATCAATAGTACATATAAGCGATGTATTAAAATATGGGCATCAAACTGCAAAAGTTTTATAAATTTTATAATAGAAATTACTGTCGAGAAAAGATGCCACCTATTGAAAAAAAAATTATTCAGTCATTTTGATAGTATCAATATCATAATGCAATATGGATTTCAACTAAAGATGGCTTAAGAAAGAAAATATTTTAGAAAAGGTTGCCAGGTGTTTGAAATTAACAGTAAATAGCAATAATATAATATTAAAAGCAATGTTCGATATTGGTTTCAAATTAATTTATGATAAGCTTATATTTCTAATAAGCTTATATTTCTGTGGATCTAGGTTTGGTGTTTGCGAATTAATTATATTATGCTTAGAATATGATACTCGATGTAATAAATCTAAATAAATAGAGTTATGAGTTTTATTTATTTAAGGCCGCTGATGAATTACAGTCAAGCAATTTGGAGACACTAGTGAATTCAGAGTTCTCCAAAGACCAGATTTTGAATAACAAAATTATTTCGGCGCTATTAAAAAGAAAAAAGAAAGCCCCCCAATCGGTCGAATAGCAACGAAATTATATATACAAGTATAATTCTATTTTATGTATTTGAAATGAAAATTTTATATTTTATAACAAAAAGTTCGAAGGATGCCTCCCGCCTAACTTTGTGTCATATTACTAGATCTGATAATAATACACTCGCTTTGATAAATGAGGGTCCAACAAAATCTTTTTAAGAATAAGTACAATTGGAAAAAAAAAATTGGAAAAGGGTTGCCCCTATTCATATTTTAAATTCAAATAAAAATTTGAAAATATTACAACAAGAGCATCACACAAAATTGGTAAAAGCACGGCTACTATCGGAAATATTTTTGAGTAGGGTTGCCAATAGAGTTTTAATTCAATTATATTAATAAACTAAAAATAATAAAATATCGATATCAATTGAAAAGTATTTCGATTTCTGAACGGCCCTATCATATATTATGTAAAACCTAAAGGTATTATTGTACAATTGAATGAAATATTACAAGTCTGAAAAAAAAATTAAATAAATCTATTGTCTACCTCCTATTGAAGCAATATTCTACGCTCTTAATTATTTTTTAACAATTCTCATTTATTTTTCTTTATATGTAGTATGCTGAAAACATTTTTTAATTGAACTGTAAATTTGTATGATCCTCGATTCCTACAGGGTCAGTATACATTAGTAATATATATAATACTTATAAGCAAGCAAAAATATGACATATTCAAGCATTTATACTTTAAAAATATGTACACACACGGTTATACATATGGTGTATATATGCATGTTTTTCTACCGTTATTACCTTCAGTAAGTTGTTGTCAACAGGAGTTGCGTGCACTATTACGCTACTAAATCCTAGTTAGCATCTTGATTGGTCATAAGTTTGTCAAAAGTAAAGATTTATGAATACAAGTACGCTCCCATATGGGTTTCTTCATATACATATATGGATTCATACTTGCTTAGCATATTTGCTATACTTACTTTACTGTACTATACTTATGTACGTTTTCACACGTTATCAACTACTACTCTTGTATTTTATATGTATACTTGGTAGAAATATCATTTTGTAAAATTTCTAACTTTCTTTTAGAACGCGCAATCACAGCAAAAACTAATCCAATATAATTCTCCCGATTCACCGCGAGGCGAGATGACGACTTCGCTTAGTTGCAAGTCAACGTAATGCAAATAACTAAGGCTAAGCACATAGTAGGGTGGAAAGCAATATCATGCAGCTAAAGCTTCACTTTAATACTACAGAGCGAGGAAGGTTAAAAAAATGAAAATTTTCAGAGTTTGAAAAGTTGTCAAAATGAGTGGCATTCAGTCAAATACCCAAAAACGATAATGCTGCCGGTATTTGGATGTAGATGTAGATCTATATTGTAGAGTTTGGAAATAGGGTAAAAAAAATAAATATTGTTGCTATTGTTGTAGAGAGTACCTAACCCCTGTTTGCGGGATAGTTCAAAATCACACAGCGATCGATTCGGGAAACAACCTGTTTTGACGGGCTCGGACCAAAAGGAGAGGGGTCTATCTCCTGAACCGTGTTAAGTGAGGTGGATTTAGCGGGGCATGCAAAGAGAGCTTAGTGTCCTGAGGCGACACTTTGAACACATGATATATATTTAATATGTCCAGATCTATGCTCGATAATTAGGAGTTTATCCTGCCACAGTATTCAAAGCGAATATGTACGTCTGCTAAAACATCTCAGCAGAAACTGCTTGGAGAGGAGTGCATTATGTTCCTCAACCGCTATTCGAGGAGAACATGCAGAGATCTCCTGTTATAGTAGGGAGTGCGATGTTTGAACGTATCTGTTGCTGCTTCAGCTGAGTCCTGCTCAATTGCCTTTTAAGTGTCCAGCAACGTTTCGCTGTCCTTACTCCAGGTGCAGCCCACTAGCGAATTGAAGATCTTATTCCTGCTGTGTACTTTGGTAATGATCGCGGTGGTATGCGGGGTTGTTCACTGGCAGCAATTTAACGTCATCGACAAAAATGTTACGGTCTAGTTTGTATTCTTTCAACCAGTTTGTGAATTTGGTCGCTAAGGATTTAGTAGGGAAGAAGTTTAGGCTCCTTGCAGTGAAGAAGCGGGAAAATAGATCGAGCCCATAGCTTTTTATATTACATATGAGTGTATTTCTTTGAGTATGGTTTGGTTAGATTAAAGCTAAGCTTCAAACTATTTCAATCTTTCTAAAAGTCTTCAAAACTTTTCCGAAACTAATAATATATGTATGTAGCTTAATAAAACTGTGAAAAGTATGCTATACTCAAGTATCAAACTTCGTATATTAATTTACATTTTTCGTTGCACTGTGTGCCTAGCCTTAGTTTCATTGCACGCAAATTGGCTGTGGCTGCCTAAAGTGACTTTGCATCAATTTCACTTCCAAACTTACTTTGCTGAAATTACTTTCTGGAATTGTGTCTCGCTGTTTTCTAACTAGTGGCCGCTGATGAATTAAGGTCAAGCAATTTGGAGACACTAGTGAAATTCAGAGTTCTCCAAAGACCACAGATTTTGAATAAAACCAAATTAGGCAATTTTACACAAATACTAAAGGAAAACACCAACAGACCTCATTATAAGCACAATAATTTCTAACAGAAAACAGTATTATATGTTAGTTTATATCTTTGCACAACTACACTGTGCTACACAATTTATTATTTGCTCTTTAGATAATTAATTATATTTCGAAAGTAAATTTATGTTAATGAAAATAGACAGCATACCTGTTAATTTTTAGTAGATCTCAAATTTGTTGCTTTAAATTTGTGTTTCGAATTTCTACCGTATTTTTCTCTACCTTCACTTATACACAGATTTTTTGGATATCACACCAAAACACTGATTTTACTTCTATTCGAATATTTGCATTATATTAAAACATATTTATTTACGATATTAGAACTATGCACTTTTCACTATTTTCACACATTTCATTTCACAAAACTTATACACATTTCTATTTTTAGTACACTTTCCACACACACTCGCGATCTATATTTTTCACTATTCACTTTTATTATGAAAACTAAATTTAAGTTTACTATATTAAACTTGTAATTGTCGCATTTAATATTATTATTAGTTATATTAATAATTTTTCATTTTGCTGCTTTGATATATGATAATATTTTTCATTTACTCACACGCGTAACACAATTTTATTTCTTTCATATTTGCACTTTGTTCGATTGAATCGCGTTGCTTTTCACT